GTCTTCGTTGATTCTGAGCCTTTGCTTTCCTGACTTCATCTTTGCATGTTCTGGCTGTCTGCTGATAATCAGCCTTAGTTATGTGTCCCTCTTCCCATTTTTTGTACTTGTCCTTTTTGTCTTTCAGTTTATCAGAGAAATCTTTATGCAGCCATGCTGGTTTCTTCTTGCCTTTCTTGTTTTTCTTTTTTAGTGGTATTGTGCTAGACTGGGCTTTTATGATAGCATTTTTCAGTGTTTCCCACACTTCTTGAGTTGTTTTCCCCTTTAGGATTTTCATCCATGGAATCTTTCCTATGCTCTTTCTGAGTTTGTTAAAATCAGCTCTTTTAAAGTTTAAGACACTGGTTGGGTTATTTTCTACTGCTTGTGTTTGCGTTATATTGAATTTCAGTATGACGTGGTCACTTTCGCCCAAGATTCTGGCAACTTCAACTCCCTCTATCACTTCTTCTCTATTAGTAAGAATTAGGTCCAGTATAGCTTTACTTCTAGTTCCCTCCTCTACCTTTTGGATGACAAAGTTGTCAGCTAGGTTGGTTAGGAATCTGTTTGATCTCCCGCTCACTGCAGAGTTTGTCTCCCAGTTGATATGTGGATAATTGAAGTCTCCCATTACTACTGTGGTATGCTTCCTACATACATTTGTTAGCTGGTTGGCAAAGAGTTCATCTAGTTCTTCTGATTGGTTGGGTGGCCTGTAATATACACCTATGGCAATGTTTTTTCCCTTTTATATTGACCCATACACATTCTGGAGCGGTTTTATCTTGGATCATGTGCATTTCTATAGATATGTAGTGTTCTCTTACATACAGTGCATCTCCCCTCCTCTTTTTGTAGATCTATTTCTTTTGAACAATTTGTATCCACCAGTCATGGGTTTCGTCCCACCAGGTTTCTGTAATGCCAACTATGTCATACCTGCCCTCATGTACTATTGCTTCTAGTTCACCCTGTTTGTTCCCCAAGCTTTGAGCATTTGTTTATAAGCATTTAAGACCTTTATGTGGGTATGTTTCCTGCATCTCCTGATTGTTGTTTGAGTTTTTCTTTTTTCTCATCACTCCCTAACTCATTGTTTGATTTGTTTTCTTGGGATTTATGACTGGTTTTGTGTTCTAGAGATTCTAAAGATTGGTCACCCTTCCCCTTTAATTTTAGTTTAAAGCCCTCCTGATGAGTTGGGCCAGTCTTTTCCGAGTACATTTTTCCCTGTTTTCGTGAGGTGCAGCCCATCCCTTGCCAAGAGTCCTTCGCATAGGAAATGCAGTCCATGGTCCAGGAAACCAAAGTTTTCTTGGTGACACCAACCCTTTAGCCAGTGGTTTATTTCTAGAATTCTTTTTCCCTCAATGGGTTTTGGCCTTTTGTTGGGAGTACTGATGAGAACACTACTTGTGCTCCTAGCTCCTTAACTTTATTGCCTAGTTGCTTATAATCTCTCAATATTGTACTCAGGTTCTTTGTTGTGTCATTGTGAATGTGAAGGAGGAGGAAAGGGTAGTAATCTGTGGGCCTAATTATTTTGGTTAGGTTCTCGGCCACATCTTTGATTTTTGCTCCAGGGAGACATCATACCTCCCTGGATTGTATGTCTGGTCTGCAGATGGCTGATTCTGTTCCTTTGAGGATATAATCTCCTATTACCAACACTCACCTTCCTTTTTTGGGGGGGTGCAGTCTGGGGTGCTTTTCTGCTTATCTCAGGTGTGTTTGTTGATGTGACTCTTTTAGGGATATTTGGTGTTGTTTCTTTGCTAGGTGTCTGCATGTTTTCTTTGAGGGGGAGGTTGTGGGTCTGCGTATTTCCATCTAAGGGGAGAAATCGATTGCTCAATTTTAATGGGGCTGCTTCTGGTTGGGTTAGATTGGGCAGTAGGGGTTTGTTAGATTATGCTGCTTCTTTCTTTGATTATTGTGTTTCCTTCTATGTGTGACATACCTCCATTTGTCTTCCTCCAAGGGTTTATCAGTAGGGTCAAATCCTCTGGGAGTTATTTGTTCATTATTTGGTTCGGTCTGGGTATAGCTTTCTTGTGTAGGTTGGAGTTTGGCTTCAGTTGCCTCTAAGTCCCTTACTTTTTCCTGTAGAGAAGGACGAGGGGGGACATTATTTATTTATTTATTAAATTTATATACCGCCCTATCTCTCTTGCGGGACTCAGGGCGGTGAACAGGCGATACTAAAAACCACGAATAAATAAATAATTTCTGTTTTAAAATCGAATTGAATAATAGGCCTGTTCTAAAAACACACCCATACAAAACCCCCCACTGAAACACAATCCAAACTACGCCAGGCCGGCCGCACGGAATAGATGGGCCTTCAGGGCTCGGCGAAAAAGGCGCANTCCAGAAGCGGTGAATGCTCCAACACTGGAAGTTTTTAAGAAGAGACTGGACAGCCATTTGTCTGAAATGGTATAGGGTTTCCTGCCTGAGCAGGGGGTTGGACTAGATGACCTTCAAGGTCCCTTCCAACTTTACTATTATTATTATTATTATTATTATTATTATTATTATTATTATTATTATTATTATTATTATTATAGTTCACATAGTTTACATCTAATGCATGTATAATTTGGGTGTTCTTTGGTCATAAGCATATACATGGAACATGTATTACATACCACAATAGTATCAGTCGCCTGTTCCATGAGTTTGTTGTTTGAAAAGCCCTCTTTTTGGTTGGTGGATGTGCTTTGCTGTTAGCCTTCTTTCTTCCTTCTCTGTTCTAGGTAATTATGCCTATTTTTTCCTATCCTTTTATCTGCCTGTTTGTGTTCGTTTTTCTACCTTGTTATTTATTTAACCTTCTTACTATGTTAGTTTTATTTATCCTTTTCTTCCCTCTTTCTTTAAAAAAGGTTTTGAGCTCCAATTCCTCCCTACCTTATTATTTAAGATTTGCCTTGTTAAGATTTGCCTCTTTATTAGTCCTATTCTTCCTTGATTTCTAATATTCCACTCTTGTCCTTATTATTTGCCTATTTATTTAGCTTTTATTTTCTGTCCTGTATTTATTTTTATTCTTTACTGGGGGTCTTCCCTCCCTTCCTATTGGGACCTCAAACTTAATTGTTGCCTTCACTTCCGTTGCTCACTGCACCGGCCTCTTGTTTTCTCTGCCAGCTTCCTTCTGTCTTTCGGTGGTCGTCTCTGCTCTGGTGAGGCTTCCGTTCAGCTTTCCAGTCAGTTCAGCTCCACTGTCTGGTCTCCTCCTCTCAGCCGGCCACTCAGCTTTAGAGATCAGAGCTCTCTGGCTCGAAGCGTCTCTGTTGCTGCTGCGTTTCTCCCCTCCTCAGATTTTGCCGCCACCAATTCCTCACAGCTGACCGATTGCTCCAGGCCTTTTGTCCTCTGCCAGACCAGGCTAGCAGGAGGCGGGGGAGGGGGCTGCTGATCTTGCTGGGGAGGGAACGCTGATCAAGTCCTCCACCTAGCGCAAGTCTCCACTGGGGAGGGCTGCGGGGATGGAAGGAGGCAGGGAGAGGGCTATGGTAGTCAGGCTGCCTTTAGTTTGCTGGGCCCTGGGTCGGGCTGCCTGGATGCCCCCTCGAGCTGGGTTGCCTAGATTGGGGTATGGGTCTAGGGTACAGGTTGGCAACCTGTGGCTCCAGAGCTGCATGTGGCTCTTTCAGCCTTCTCCTGCGGCTCCCAGCCTCCTCTGGCATTTGCAGAGAGAGAGAGAGAGACAGAGACAGAGAGAGGCACTTGCGCTTCCCCCCCCTCTCTCTCTCTGTGTAAAAAAAAGAGAGTGGCCTCACCCTATTTTCCGATGAGCTGACAAGCTTATTGGGCGGGGCTCCTGCCATGGCTGCATCTCTGCAGGAAGCAGGACGCAGGAAGCAGGAAGGGCAGGAGAGAGCCAGCCTGTTGGAGAACAGCTTGAAGCCAGCTTGCCAGGTGAGCAGAAGATCGGAGAAAGGGGGGAGAGAGAAAGAGAGAGAGAGAGGGAGAGAAAGAGAGAAAGAGAGGGAGAGAAAGAGAGAGAGGGGGAGGAAAGAGAGAGAGGGAGAAGAGAGAGAGGGAGGGAGAGAGAGAAAGAGAGAGGGGGGCAGATGAAAGAGAGAGAGAGAAAGAGAGGGAGAGGAAAGAGAGAGGGGGAGAAAGAGAGAAAGAGAGAGAGGGAGAGAGAGAGAAAAAGAGAGAGGGAGAGAGAGAGAGGGAGAGAGAAAAAGAGAGAGGGGGAAAGGAAAGAGAGAGAGAGAAAGAGAGGGAGAGAGAGAGGAAAGAGAGAGAGAGAAAGAGAGAGAGAGGAAAGAGAGAGAGAAAGAGAGAGAGGGAGAGGAAAGAGAGAAAGAGAGAGAGGGGGAGAGGAAAGAGAGAGAGAGAAAGAGAGAGAGAGAACTCATGCACAGCAGCCTCTATTTCTTTTTAATTAAACTCTTCAATCAAGCTCCCCCCCCCTTGCGTGCGCGCGCAAGTTTTGCAGCTCCCAGTGTTTTCTTTTCTCTGGGAAACGGGTCCAAGTGGCTCTTTGGGTGTTTAAGGTTGCAGACCCCTGGTCTAGGGTCTAGGCAATTGCTCAATATGCTGTGACCCACCAGTTCGCTGCTTCCAACAGTCTCCCTCCTTGTCTGCTATTCAGCTGCCAGTTCGCTGCTCTCAGTTGCCTTTTTTTCCAGCGTTGGGCTGCTTAGTTTTGCTCTGGAGCTGGATCTCTCGTTCTCTGTTGCCAGATGCCTCTGACTCCACGTGCAGCCATTCATTCGCTGCACTCCTGTTTGCTGGTGTTTTCCTCCTTGCCCCAATTTCTTCTTTTCCTTTATTCTTTCTATCTTCATCATCTAACTTTTGGCTTCTTTTTCCTCCCTTTTCCCCCTCTCCTAGTACCTTCGATGGCCACTTTATCCCTTCAAATTCCTTTCATCTTTCCCATCTCAGTATTTTGTAAAGGCAAAATAAAAATGATAACAAAGACAAGCAACACAATATATATCACAAATAAATATACTTTAAAAATAAAATAGATACATAGTCATCAAACTCACCTGGTTTGTGATGAATGTTATCCAGAGAGCCACATTTGGATGTCACATGGCTAAGATCCACTGGCTTGTAAACAAGTTGTACCTGTGAGAAGAAAATGAAAAAAAAGTATGGGACTGGAATTTCTTTTAATTTGAAAACAAAAACATTACCCAAGATATGCTGGAAAAGTGAGACAAAAAAAATGCTGGAACATGACAGGAGAAGAAATACAGTTGGAAGAATTATTTTAATAATTATTAATTATCACGCAAAGTATTAGTACCGCTTTATAAAACCCTAGTAAGACCACACCTGGAATACTGCAACCAATTTTGTTCACCATACTACAAAAAAGATGTTGAGACCTTGGAAAAAGTTCAGAGAAGAGCAACTAAAATGATCAAAGGCCTGGAGACTAAAACATATGAAGAACGGCTGCGGGACTTGGGTTTGGCTAGTCTAAAGAAAAGAAGAAACGGGTGACATGATAGCAGTATTCCAGTATTTGAGGGGCTGCCACAAAGAAGAGGGTGTCAAACTATTCTCCAAAGCACCAGAGGGCAAGACAAGAAACAATGGTTGGAAACTGACCAAAGAGAGAAGCAACCTGGAATTAAGGAGAAACTTCCTAACAGTGAGGACAATTAACCAGTGGAACAGCTTGCCTTCAGAAATCTTGGGTGCTCCATCACTGGAGGTTTTTAAGAAGAGACTAGACAGTCACTTGTCTGAAATAGTATAGGTTCTCCTGCTCGAGCAGGGGGCTGGACTAGAAGACCTCCAAGGTCCCTTCCAGCTCTATTCTATTCTATTTAACCAAATAAGACTGAATGAAAGCTTTATGCAAGAAACTGTGAAGCCAAAAGCATGTGTTATATCAAAGTTTCCCACAAGCATACACAGATTCACTGATTTTTTAAGAAGGTTCATTTAACGATTCATGGGAAAAGCAAACATACCTATAAAAATAGTTGATCCCATGTTTTCAAATAAATTATTCTAAAAGCTAATTATCTTGTTTTTAGAATAAACCTACAGTATACTTCTACTTTGCCTTGTTCTTAATATATTTTTTTCACATTCATATTCCATTTTAACACTAGGAACATTTAAAATTTTTAATTGCATAGGATTCCAAATGTTGCAGTCATTTATATACTATCCATATAGTAACAATATTTCAAAAATACTGAAATATTTTAAAAATAATTGTTAAGTACTCTTCTCTGAAGATTTCACTGTTCTTGCAAGATCACCCCTTATGTGGCATCCACACTGCATTTCCACAGCATGGAAAAACTATTATACCTCCAGAAGATGGAGATTGGAAACTGAGGGTTGTGAGGTGAAAGTAGAATCATAGAATCATAGGGCTGGAAGGGACCTGGGAGGTCTTCTAGTCCAACCCCCTGCCCAAGGCAGGAGTCCTTATAACATCTCGGACAAATGGTTGTCCAATCTTTTCTTGAAAACCTCCAGCAATGGAGCACCCACAACTCCAGGAGGCAAGCTGTCCCATTGGTTAACTGCTTTGACTGTCAGGAAATTTATCCTTAGTTCTAGGTTGGATCTCTTTTTATCTAGCTTCCACCCATTCTCCTTGTCATGCCCTCTGGTGCTTTGGAGAATAAGTCAACCCCCTCATCTCTGTGACTGCCCCTCAAGTACTGGAAGACATCTATCATGTCACCCCAATCCTTCTCTTTGTTAGACTAGACATGCCTAGTTTCCTTAACTGTTCATTGTACGGTTTAGTCTCCAGACCCCTTACCATCTTTGTTGCTGTTCTCTGCACTCTTTCTAGGGTCTCAGCTTCTTTTCTGTATTGTGGCAACCAGAGCTGGATGCAGTATTTATTATTTATTTATTAAATTTATTTGCCACCCATCTTGTATCGAAACACCTCTGTGTGGCTTACAGCATTAAAACATTGAAATCCTGAAAGATAAATACTTCTAAAACAATAAAAATGGAAATCACAATCAAAATAAAATTATAGTTAAAAGATGGGGAAGAAGGGAACAGGATGTGTGGGAAAGAGGTGGGATTGCCTCTTAACTCATCAACCGCCTATCTTACCTCAGGGTGTAATATGTTCCAAAGAGCAGGAGCCACGGCAGAGAAGGCTCTTCTCCTGGACCCCACCAGCCGGAATTCCTTGACTGGTTGGGGTGGGCCAGTCCTATTGGGTTGAGACTGTTCCTCAAGTAACCTGAACCTGGAATGAGCTCAGGGGGGCAGAACACACCACTGATAGTATACATCGGAGTTGTCTTCCTCTGTAACGGCCTGCCCTCTGGCTCCCATAGCACCCCATGCCCATCACCACTCTAATGCATTGTTCTGCCCCACATCCCCATGGTGATCATCACCCCCTCCCCAACCTCCCTCTGTCTAGAGCCAAGGGCTTTGCCATCCCCCTCTAGCCACTCTTGTGCACTTCCTCAGACATCCTGGGGTGGATAGGTGAAGGAGGGAGCCTGTATGGTGATATAGCTTAAGCTCTCAGCACCAGCTGGGCTCCCACGTCTCCACTCCTCCCCACCCCATATGCGATGTCCTTCCACCTCAGCTGGTCCCTCTCACTGACCAGCCAGGGGGAGGGTAGACTCATCCCAGCCCCTCCATACAACTCTCACTCTGGGTGGGGGAGCTGCATGCATCTGCCCTAACACATTACAGTAGCTTCTCCTAGGATGTCACCCTAGGATTGGGCACTCAAGCACTTAGTCCTCCTCCAGCATAGCCCCAGCTGTCATGACCATTGTCCCTTGCTGATCCCAAGTCTTTCTTAGGCCTTTTGTGCAGTATGGAGCAGTACTATCATTTCTTGTGATCTTGATGCTATCTTGATGCTATCCCTCTGTTGATGCAGCCTAGGACTGCATTGGCTTTTTTGGCAGCTGCAGCACACTGCTGGCTCATACTTAAGTGGTGGTCCACTAGGACCCTTAGATCCCTCTCACAGGCACTACTGTTGAGCCAGGTACTGCCTACAGGTTGTCCTTAACTTACAACCACATTTGACCCCAAAATTTCTGCTGCTGAGACAGTTGTGAAATTAGTTTTCTCCCATTTTACGGCTGTTCTTGCCACAGTTGTTAAGTGAAACACTGCAGTTATTAAGTAACATGGTTGTAAGTAAATCTGGCTATCTCATTGACTTTCCTTGTCAGAAGGTTGCAAAAGATGATCACATGACCCCGGGACACTGCAACCGTCATAAAATGAGTCAGTTGCCAAGCATCTGAATTTTGATCATGTGACAATGGAGATGCTGCAATGGTCATAAGTTTGAAAAATGGTCATAAGTCACTTTTTTCAGTGCCATTGTAACTTTGAATGGTCACTAAATGAACTGCTGTAAGTCAAGGACTACCTTTATTCTGGACCTGTGCATTTGGTTTTTCCTGCCTAAGTGCAGGACCTTACTTTTCTCACCACTGAACTGCATCTTGTTGGATAGGGCCCATTGCTCTAGTCTGCCAAGATCCTTCTGAATCTTGAGTCTATCTTCCAAAGTGTTAGCAAAAAAGTGGAGAGAGGGAAAGATGTTTAATCAAATAAACTATATCACAGAGAAAATATTTAAAAGCACAACAGAAATGCTAAATACCTTTTCTGATGTAAAACATGGTTTATGTCCACAAAACTGAAAGAACAGAAATAATGTGCATTGAAAAGGCTGAGGGAGTCTTACTTTTTTAAAAGATATTTTTAAAATGCAACCAGAACAATGTGGAATTATAATCACATTATAGTAAAGAGTCATTTATCCAGAAATAATATATGCACAAAAGGCACAAATATAGACAAAAATAGTTACTAGTGGTTATTAGGTTACAACAAATGACACTGCAGGAAGGCATACAACTGGAGAAAGGTACTGTATAAAATATAGTCCCAAAGGACCAAATCCATCTTTGCTATGCATTTTCCCACCACCTTTCTTCCTGTTCTGTTCAGTTTCCAGACACATCACACTGATGGACAGATGGTTAAGCAATGTCCTGACCCCTTTACATAACTTATTTCCAATATTTTGTTGGGTTGGAAATAATAAAAAAGGTATTTGTACTTTAGACCAGCATCATGCTATCAATCCATTTACCTATGATACAGGCTACACCAGAAATTCTCAGGCCGCTGACTAGCTCGATGAAAGTTTCACACTCTTGTATTGAGATGCATTTGAACATATTCATTCATATGCAAGAAATTCAATGAGATCTTAATGAATTATCTGTTAATAGAAGAGCCGTTGTGGTGCAGTGGTTAGAATGCAGTATTGCAGGCTAATTCTGCTGCCTGCCAACTGCCAGCAGTTTGGCAGTTCGATTATCACCGGCTCAAGGTTGACTCAGCATTCCATTGTTCTGAGGTCGGTAAAATGAGGACCCAGATTGTTGGGGGCAATATGCTGACTCTGTAAACCGCTTAGAGAGGGCTGTAAAGCACTGTGAAGCAGTATATAAGTCTAAGTGCTATTGCTAATATTGTTTTTTATATTGAACTCACTTCAAAAGTACTCTCTATGTCAGATCTACATAACATCACTCAAGCAGAAGCCATATGGTAAGAATATAACCTTCATTAAATCAGACAAAATCAACACGCGAACAGTTCATGCCCAACCTGTGCTTGGGCCTCTGTCCCTGGACTTGGGGGCCGGCTGCTGGCAGCCACCACTTCTCTGCTATCCTTGTAGCTCTCTTCTTCGGGAAGGTCTCTGCCCACCACATGCGGACAAGAGAGGCTTGCACCCCTGAAGACACATGTCTGCGTGCCCCGTTTCCCACTTGGCTGCTTCCACCTGCTGCTCACCCTTCTGCATCCAAGATCATGGGCAAAGCATGCTGCAGTGACATGCCCACCCATCCACACGTGTAGCGGGCACAGGCAAGCTCAGGCTTGGTTGTGGGGAGATGCTCACAAGATGTTTTGGCCTTGGAATGACTCCTCCAAGCTGCGCCCTCCCTGGCAAGGTAGGTTGCCTGACATGCAGACCCCTCCGGGTGCCTCTGCCTTCTTCTTGCAAGTGGGTTGGGGGGGCAAGACTGACAAGCACAGGGCAGGAGCAGCAGCAGCAGCTTCATCCCCCCCCCACCGCCCTCCTGCCCTGCTGACAGCAAAGTGACCTTGGCCACTCTGGCACCTTTTGTGCCCCTGGTATTGCTCCGAAAAGCTGGGATGGGGCGAGAGAAATGGATGGGCTAAGCTGTGACCACCCCTCAAAAGAAGGGCTAAGAGATGGCTACCCCCCGGAGCTCAGCTGCTGATTCCCTGTGTGGATCGCTGCTCCGTGGGGCTCTGAGGCTTCCTGCATGCAGCATGCTGATGGGGGGAGTGTACGAGAGTGATCTCTCTGTTGTGCCCCCTCCCCATCAGTCTCTTTTGGGTCCCCTTTCAGCTGCCACATTATGCCCTTACTTTTGGTCAGGAGAAAGCCAGCGGATCGCAAGCGGATGGCCACCCCCACTTTTGAGAGCCCCGCCTCGCAACAAAAATACTTGTAGTTTAATTGCAGAAAGAAATGAGGCATCTCTGCCTATAAATGTTTCCTCCCCCCCCAAGAAGAGAGCCACTGTTGTCTGAGGAAAGAAGGCAGATGCCTTTACTGTAATGCCCACCCCCCCATTCATGGTGCAGACTAGGCAGAATTTTGCAAAAGTGGCAAATATCTGTAGTTCGAGGTAGGATGAGGCTGGAGGTTTGTTCTCTGAGCTTGTTTATGAATGTTTCATTACCAGGCTAGGTAACATCTTCAGCGGAGTTTAGGGGATGTCAGTGTCGGTGCTCTTCTGCTTATATGGCTTTGTGTGGTCAGTAGGTCTTGTGATGGGGAGGTCATGTCAGGTGAGGGTGTTGTGATGGGTCTTGTGATGGGTCAGGTGTCTGTCATGTCAGGTGAGGGTCTTGTGATGGGTCTTGTGATAGGGAGGTCACGTCAAGTGAGGGTCGTTGGGAGGTGAAGTGCTGGTTGGAGGGGCTGTGTGGGTTGGTTGAGGGTTGCTGCCATTGCTGGTTGGCTGTGCAGTTGATTTGAATTCTGAGGGGGTTCATTGGCTGGTTGTAGGTCAATGTGTCTGTTGATGGAATTGCTTGTGGAATGCCAGGCTTTGATAAACTTGTGTGCATGGTGGGTGGTAGCGTGGTTGATGATTCTTGTATTGCTCCAATCAAATTGGTGCTGTTCGGTGTCAGTGTGGGTAGAGATTAGGGATTTGGGATTGTGGCGATTGACTGCCAGTGTCATGGTTCTGACAAGACGAATAAAGCAGAACTCCGAGGCTTGCAAATTCCTCAAAGAACATGTTTATTAGTTACAAAGTATTGGCACGTCAAAAGTGAAACCAAGTCCGGAGACATATGTAACAATTCCCCAATACTGTTCTGGATCGTATAGCTCTATGTAACCCTAACTAGAGAGCATGTATCAGTATGTTAGAATATCTGGCATTTATTGGGTTAAGTGCTGTTTCCTTAAGAGATGGATTATGGGAAATGTAGTTTAGTTAGTCAGTCATCCCATGTTAACAGGTCAATAGTAGGAGGAGCCTCTGAGCTCTTCTCAGGACATACTGGCTACGTGCCCAGTTTTGGAATGCCTTTGTTCATCCATCCTCATGTCTCCTAGCCACACGGCTTGGAGGTCCTATGCCAACATGTGATGCTTATGCAGAAGAAGAGGGGAAAATCCATTATCAAATTACCTGTGGAATGAACCAATATTGCTGAAATATACTTTTGGACGTATCTCTACATAACTGTAAGTTATTGTTTAGGATTCCCAGAATAAAGCGATATTTTTCTGTTTATTCCTCTGAGTTATCTATCTGTCCTGGATAGGACTAAGGATGTCTGTTCTGTCTGGAGCAGTATAGTAATTTGATAGGGTTAATTTTCCCCTAATCTCCTGCAACAAAGTAATTTAAGGCTTGTGAAAAAGCAAAGTCAGTATATCTGCCTGTCAGCCTGATGCATTGTGTTGCTAATTCGCCTTTAACTCTGTAAAGTCTGCACCGGTTTGCGTGATAAAGCTTGTCTGCCTGGAAGAGAGAAATCTTGTCATTAGCATGTGAATTTCTGCTAACAACTAGAAGTGAAGGACTGTTATATGTTTGTTCTAAGATGCCTTGGAATTTGCCTGCTAGCCGTTGCTACATGTAAAGTCTGCATTCTTAAACGACCGAAGCAGCCTAGAAGTTCCCCTTTTCTGGCCCAGCTGCCAAACAATAAATCAATAGGTTGCCGAAGCAACCATATGTTGCCATAGTAACCCAGCATTGATGAGAGGAGTGTTTGTTTGCTTGGAAGCAATCACAGAGATTACTGCCTATGTAGCTAAAACCAATGGAAAGATATCCTTGTTCAAATAGCTTGCTATCAGGAACGTTGCTTCCTTGAATTCTGTGGGCAGCTAATTTGCCAAAGGAGGCGTTATTCAGTTGCGAGAAACTTTTCTATTGCAAGACAACAGAGGCAGACAATCAACTCTCAACTAAATGCTGCTTTCTTTGTCTGAATACCCCTGGCCCCATGCCTTAGCAACCAGGCCAAATTCCTCATCACCAAGGAGAGCAATAAAGTAATTAACCTCCTCACACAGCCACAGCACTGGTGAAAGAAGTCTAAACTCCCCCCTCCCCTTGGAATTTCAACTATGTCAATGGAAAGACAGTGTTCAGAGGTTCCAATAGCATTGCAGCAGCATCCCCTGGTGGTCAATCTGCACATGACACCTTTCAAATTTTTCCTATGTTAGATTACAACTTAATAATTAATTCAGCACATAGCAGGCTTATACTGTACCATCCCAAGCTACCAACACCCCCTAGAGGGCACAGAGTGAACTTCACCTAATCACTCACTCAAGCTGATGACCAAGATGTTCCAGTTTGAGAGCAAATTAAGGAGAAGGACAGGCACCAATTATCCTTGTTTATTATTACTAGCTGATGACCAAGTGGTTCCAGCCTGCAACGTGACGACCAGGTGGGAGTTTGTAGGAGCGAGTGAAGCTCTGCATTCTCTCAGTGGCCAATAGCAGTAACGTGGTAATAAGAAAAATTTTGGCTGGCCTCTCTCCAGTGCCCCCTAGTGGTTAAAGGAGGAACTACACGCAAGCCTTTAATCACGCACAGAGAAACCCTCTAGTGGACAAAGGGTGAACCTCGAAGGAAGAGCACCCTGGGAGCTGACCCGCAGGAAGGGACCCCTAGTGGTGATCGGGTGAATTGCGCTGAAGTACCCACAAACACAGGAGAATGCACCCAGCGGTGCCCTTCACCCACAGACAGCACCTCTGAGGCTAATCTGCAAGTAGCGACCCCTAGTGGTCAAAGAGAGAAGTTCTTCAAATTTGCTTCAAAATAGCTAGAAAGTGTACTGAACCTATCCTAGCCATGGCAGAGTGTCCCACTGATCTAGCAGAAGGGGTTCAACCAACCAGCCTAGATGAGACACCCCAACCAGCCGGTCAAGAAGAAATGCTGCAAACAGCCAACCTTGACCTGTACACAGAGGCTGAAGCTCAAGCTTCAGTGAAGCCAAAGACATCTCAGGGTCACTATGACCTGAGGCAACAAAGAAAGCTTACATAAACAATGCACTCACATCTGATAGAAAGATGGGAGTCGAACTACAAGCGCCATGAAAGATACTGGGAGAAATTACACAAACTCTACCAAGAGTCTAAGGAAGAGCTCTCCCCCGAACACGTGCGCTTAGTGGAAGGAGTTAAGGGAGACGCTCTTACGCAATGGATAGACTCCGAACAGTACCTCGAAGACATTCAGGCACAATTAGGAGATCCAACTATCGATGGCAAGATGCGAAGCCTCAAGCTACTAAACAAGGAACGTAAGAAGCTTCTGGAGAGCCCACAATGCCTCCCAGAGCCCGAGCCTCGCACCAGAGACAGACCAGTCGAAAGGGCCGAGTCTGAAGTCTCCCGCCATTCACATGCACCATCCCAACGGTCGCATGCGGCTCCATCTCACGTGTCTGAAAAAGTATCTTCCTTTCGCCATATATCTAAGGCGCATTCCAGCGTGTCACAACAATCTCACGTTACAGGCGCCTCCCACCATTCGAAAGCATCTTCTCATCATAGCCGAGCATCCTGAATTTCACAAGCAGAGCAAGCAATCATTGATGCTGAAGCTGCCGAAGCAGTCTTTCAAGTGGTACAAGAGGAGCAGCTGAAGAAGAAGGAATTGGAGGCGATGGAAATTGAAGGAGCTCAAATGAAAGCTAAAAGAAAAGCTGAAGCAGCTAAAAGAAAAGCTGAAGCAGCTCAAAGAGCAGCTAAACGAAAGGCTGACGCAGACGCTAAAGCAGCTGAAGCAGCTCAAAGAGAAGCTGAAGCAGAGGCGGACGCAGAAGCTGAAGCAGATATAAGGAAGGCCAAAATGAAGACCGCTCAAGATGAACTTGAGCTCATACGAAGCCAACGAGATGTGGCAGACAAAGTGGCAAGAGCAAAAGGCCTTCAGAAAACACTCCAGCACACAATTTTCCTGCCCAATAGGGAACAACTGGAAAATGAAGATTGGCGTAGCCGTGTACAGGCCTACATGGACAACCAAAGCGCGTTCCAGCGTGAGCAGGTGAGAGCGCCACAGCCAGCCACAAGCCCCCCAAGATCGAGTAGACGAACAGAAGAATCTCAACAACCAGATGCGCCGGTCAGCCACAGAGTTGATGTCGCGACACCTAGGTCACGAGATCTTCCCACCGTCGCTGCCCCATTGAACCCACTGAACCATACCCTTGATGGCAACCAGATGGGTCCACCAGCAACGGCAATGGCTACACAGCGGGCAGTGCCACAAGATCTTCCCACCATTGCTGCCCCACGGAACCCACGGAACCATACCACTGATGGCAACCGAATGGGTCCACCTGCAGCGCCAACGGCCCTACAGCAGAACCAGCTGCCGCTCGGGGACAAGATTGAAAGAGCTTGAGCCAGAATAGAGTCCCTGCTGAGCCAACAGGAGGCAGCGTCCCAAGGAACCGCCCCCAGACCTGACCACAGAGGAGAACCTCAACCATCAGCCGTGCCAGCCTATCAGGGAGCCAGCCACGCACCACCCGAAAGATGAGAGACCCTCCAACAAGTAAGCACGCAGGAACTTGGGTCCCCTCAGCTCAACGCCAGAGCAGAGGAGTTCAGACCAAACCAACAAGGTCCCTCGCACGTGACATGGCAAAACACCCTCAGCGGACAATACACCGAAGAAAGTTACCAGCCAGCCATGGCGCACGTCCCCACTCCCAGAAGTGATGCACCAACTCCACCAAACTACAGCTCACACACGGGATCGATGCATCCCCCAATATTCATTGGAAGAAGGTTGGACTTGGCAGCCAGAGGCGTACGAAAATTCTCCGACAAACCAGGAAGAGAGTACTTATTGTGGAAGCACATCTTCAAGCACGCCATCCTCGAGGAAAGGGCTGGGCCAGATGAGAAACTTGTCCAGCTGACAGCGTGGTTAGGCCCAAAATCCGTAATCACAGTGAACAACATCTTTGCATCCCATCTGGGTAACCCTGACATTGGCCTTAAAAAGACTTGGGCCACACTTGACAAGGACTATGGTGAACCCACAGTGACAGAGTCCTCGCTCCTGGACCATGTTCTCAGTTTCCCCAACATGAGAATCAACGAACTTCAACAGCTGAAGACATTCTTGTCGCTCCTTACTCAACTACAGACAGCACAACAGGATCCTGCCTTGCCGGGACTAGCTTGCCTTGACCTGTTCAGGACACAAAATCCTATCATCCAAAAACTACCATGGTTGATATGTGACCAATGGATCAAGTTTTCTCTGGCTTACAGGAAAAGGAACCAAAACAAAGTTCCCCCCTTTGCTGTTCTTGCTGAATTTGTCAGTGACCAGGCAGATCTCTACAATGACCCCCTATACCTCTCCATCAGAGAAGCACACTTCCCAACGACCAAGCGAAGCAGTCAAAACTCTGATGTAGCCAAGGGACCCATCCAAGGCGCAAAGAATAGAACTTCCATTTCAGTGTACAAAATAGACATCACGCCTCGCCCAAAGAAGACTTCAGACGAACGAATACCGAGGAATGCTCATTCGAACCCTCATCCAACTAAAAGAGGCCTGACTTGTCCAATTCACAAGTCCTCACACTCTCTAAACGATTGCAGAGAATTTAGGAAAAAATCCCTAGATGACCGAAAGGCCCTACTCAAAGAGCATAGGATATGCTTCAAATGCTGTGACTCTATAGATCACATGGCCAGGGATTGTGCAGTCAGGGTGAAATGCCATCTGTGTGACAGTAACAAGCACCCAGCAGCCTTACATCTAGAAACTAAGAAGCCCTCTGAAGAGACACGACAAGCAACTCCCACCTCTACCATGACGACAAACACTCAACGCATCTCCACAAGGCTCCCAACAATGGACCAGACGCACTGTATACAAATATGTGGCAGCTCACCGCGCCCTCCTTCATGCTCTCCTATCTTTCTAGCTAAAGTCTATCCAGATGGAAGACCGGGAGAGGCTGTGAAGATGTACGTGATATGCGATGTACATAGCTCCACCACGATAGCTAGGTCTGCCTGTTTCGATCTCTTTGACCTCCCGACCGAACTAACAGAGTTCGGAGTAAAAACAATCACAATGCTTATGAGCACGGTGGGGAGGACACTCTCCGGACTACGCATAGAAGCAATAGATGGGAGCTCTCATTTCCTGTTGCCACCAGTGATGGAATGGGACAACATACCGGTCGAGCGGGACGATATTTCAACACCAGAGATGGCAAGAAACTTTCCTCATCTAGCACGTATAGCCGATCTTATCCCTCCCCTGGATACTGAAGCCGAGATTCTACTATTGGTGGGACGGAACGCCTACAAAAGCATCGGCAACGAGGAAAGAATCAGAGGCCCACCAGGCACACCGGTAGCAGTTAAGATGGAACTCGGATGGGCCATCACAGGTGTAGCATGTATCGATAAGCTGCAAATTCCAGCACAAGCAACCGTCCTAAAGACTTCCATTCTCAATAATGGGAGAGCTTCCCACCTAGAACCATGCCAAGAACACTTCACGCTTTCGACCGTTAAGCCTATCGTGGGATCGTCGGTGTTCCGAACCAGCAACAACGACAATGACGTAGGACCGTCGATAGAAGACAAAGAATTTCTAGAGCTCATGGACAAGGAATATCTGCAGGACGAAACCGGAAGTTGGGTAGCTCCTCTACCTTTCCGTATACCCAAGCAGTGCCTACCTAACAATCATGAGCAAGCTCTCTCTCGGCTCCACAACCTACGAAGAACCATGAACAAGAAAGCCGAAATGAAGACACATCTGGTAGAATTCATGGAAAAGATGTTCCAGAACCTGTTGTTGATTCATTGGAGGGCCACCGAGCGGTCCATCAATTTCAACGTAGAACTTTACGTGCCATTATTAATGACCTCCACAGACGGAATGGTAGTATAACAAGGAGTATCCGCAACTACCGGGAGAGGTGCGCTACTATACTCACTAACCAACATCTATTGGAACTGGAACAGCATATTCGCTGGATTGCTCACAAGGTGAGTCTTAGCGCCACAGAAAAGTTCCTCAAGAGATCAGAGGGATTGCGGAGACCCATAGGTGTGAACCCTCCGGACAAACTGGTCCACAACTTGTCTAGTAGGACGCTAACTGAAACCCAGCTGACCCTACTAAAACGAGATGTGGGTCATAATTTATCAGACGCATGTGCTTTAGATTTTATAGCGTCTTTAGAACCTTCCTTGCACCGCAATGGGATGAGTGAGGTTGTTAGGGATACCATCAGACAGCGTGTAACGGGTCTCCTTGTGAACCACAGGCGTCACCAGCCTCTACCTAGAGAGGAACTTGAGGCTATTGCCCAACTTAAGAAGGATGACAGCATCCTTATAACACCAGCTGACAAGGGAAGGGCCACTGTCGTTATGGACAGAGCGCAATATAACTGTAAGGCAATGGAGTTACTCAGCGATACAGCAGCCTACAGAGTGGTAAAGGGCGACCCCATGGTGTCCCTTAGGAACCGCATTAACAAGACTCTTAACAACCTTAAACGTAGTAAGAGGATTGATGACAGTATCCTCACAAAAATAAGACCTTCTGACACCGCCATGGCTAGGTTTTATGGACTCCCCAAGATCCACAAAGAGGGTGTTCCTCTTCGACCCATTGTATCCTTCAGAAACACCCCTAGTTCAGGTCTGGCCAGATGGCTTAGCCACCGTATAAGCCACTTGGTTGATGGCAGTGACACCATTGCAAGATCTGCTGAGGAGTTCCTTTGCAAGATTGGCACTTTGAGGATGGAGGAAGACGAAATGATGGTATCTTTTGATGTCATCTCTCTCTTTACCTCCATCCCTCAAGATCTTGCCATCAGTACCATCAGAGATCTCCTCCACCATAGAGGACTTGGGTCATCCCAAGATTCCCTCCGTCCGGATGACCTCATAGATCTGTTGGGGTTATGCCTTAAAACCTTTTTTACGTTCCAAGGGAATACGTACGAGCAGGTTAAGGGTACTCCCATGGGCTCCCCTATTTCCAGCGTCATAGCCGAAGCCATATTGCAACAATTGGAACGCGTGGCGATGGCCAGATACTGTCCCAAGTTCTGGGCCCGCTACGTTGACGACACTTTTGTCGTCATTAAGAGGAGTCATAAAGCTGATTTTGTGAATATACTGAATTCCGTGTGTGTGGATATACAGTTTACGGATGAGGAAGAGCATCA